CAACAAGCCTCGCGGTATAAGACATTGATGACCGCATTTAGAGCACTAGCAAGTAGAGCTGCTGAAACTGAAGAAACTTATGATTTTTGTATTGCACACCTTGCTACATTAGGTGCAAATGTTGAAGGCAAGTTAAGTGCTCATTTTGGTGTTGGAAATGAAGTAGGTAATGATGATGACACCCAAAGCTTTGAAGTGGATTGCAAAGATGTGAATCATGTTGTGCAACCAAAAGGATTGAAGAAAAAGGTGGCAACTAGTAAGGGAAAAATGAGGGTAAAATGTGGATTTGAAGCGGCGTTGGTAGCGAACTCCAAAAAAAAATCCCGTGCTAACAGCTTGACTTCGTCACAATCTATTGCAAGTCCAACAGTTGCACATTCTCCATTATCTGTTGGAGGAGATATCTATATTCGTCAACATGTTCCTCCTCTTCAACCTCTTCATTCCCTCCATCATTTTCCTCCATCTTTGCCCATGGGTGGTAATTCTATTCCTCCACCATTGATGTATCCCACATATCATGTAAGTGTTAGTTTAACATTGTATTTTTTGTGTGGATATAATATGCAACTCAATCCATGAGTGCGAAGCCTAATATATGACATTGTTGTAGGTAAACAATTTGTGGGAGATGTATGTAGTGCAAAATCCTTTGCGAAATTTAATGTCTCAACGGTATTCTGCTCAACCAACATTCCAGTCACTACTTCAAGATTCATGTGGATATGACATTGGGTTTCGATATTCTCAAGAATCAAACAGTCCAATGTGTAGTCAGGTTCGTCCTCGTTGTCTTCTTATTTTGTAGTTGATGAAAATTGTGGCTTTTTAGTTGCTGAAATTTCTATTTAAAGTATGTATTTACTTGCTGAAAATTGTGGAAAATTATGTCTTTTTTCATTTTAGGCTATGGACAAGCAGAAAGACAAGCAAACTGAAGCTGAAATTGGCATTCAAAGTGAAGTCATAGTAGCTCAAATTTTGAACCAAATTGTGTGTTCAAACGGCTTGTGAAGTAATGGCTTGCTGGAAAGACAAGCAAACTGTGTGTTCAAATTGTGAAGCACAAAGACCAGCAAACTGTGTGTTCAAATTGTGAAGCAAACTCTATGTACCTGTGTTAATGGCTTGTATTCAAACAGTGTTGAAACTCTATTTACTAAAGTAATGGCTTGATGTTAATTTACAAGTTGGTAATGATGTTAATTTACACTTGATGTTAATTTACACAGCTTTTTCATTTGTTATAAAAATTATCCCATCTGTTGTGCTGCTCTCCATTTTTTGATTCTGCTAGAACTGAATTTAACTATGTATTGGTTCTGCTGGAACTAATTCTGCTGGAACTGAATTTAACTTCTTGTGTTGCTGTCCACATTTTGGTTCTATACTGGTTCTGGTATGCTAATGACAGCACCATACATGCTAGTGTCAATGTTGGGTATGTTGGTTCTGGTATGCTAATGACAGCACCATACATGGTGCCAATGTTGGATATGCTGGTTCTAGAATGTTAAGGACAGAACCATACATGTTGGTGCCAATGTTGGATCTGCTGCCATACTCATAGAACCAAAATGTGCTGTTAAACCATAATGTGCTGTTGCAATACTTAGAATGTGCTGCTGGTTTTGGTGTGGATCTGCTGTTAAACCAAAATGTGCCATACTGATAAATGGTTCTCATAGAGTTAGAGACAGACAAATAATTTGTGCCATACTCAGAACCTTGCTGATGCCACACTCAGAACCATAATAGTTTATGCGCTGCTAATGAGTGTGATGCTGCTGTATAGATAAACCATAACAGATAAACTGAGTGTGATGCTAATGAGTGTGATGCTGTTGTACTGAACCATAACAGCAACACATTATGGTTCTGAGTATGATGCTGCTGCCATACTCAAACTTGCTAACAGATAAACTTCCTAAACCAAAATGTGCCATACTGATAAACTTCCTAAACTCATAGAACCATAACAGATAGACTTGGTAACAGTTTATCATGCTACTACTTAAGTAAGTAATAATGATGATAAACTTAAGTAACTTAACATGCTAACAGTAAGTCATGCTGCTGGCATACTCATTCCATCATTCATTTCAAAATTCATTCCATCATTCATTCCATAACAGATAATAAGTTGAGGTCGCAAGCTGAGGGAAATCCAAAATGGTCCATAGTTCATTCCATAACAGATAATAGATAACAAGTTGATGTACATAAAACCCAAAATAGTACAAACTTCTATTTAGTTTCCCAAAATACAATAAAGTACCAAAGTTACATCATAAAGTACAAAATGATAGAAAATACAATGAAGTACACCATCGCTTTGATATTATTTTCCATCATTTGAAGCCTTCAACCATAGTCATTTTCCATATAATCAAGCCTCATTCTTACATCGTTCAAATCTTCTACTGTTATACCAGCACAAGCTGTACTGTTGGAACAGATTCTAGACGTAACGTCTTCATCATCTTCATCCACAAACTTGAAGTAATTGCAATGGGGAGTGAGAGTGCTACTCTGCAATGCATGCAAATCAGTTAGTTGAATAAGACAAATATTAAAGTGACTAATAAAGGAAGAACATAGCCAGAATTACCAACTTACATATTTTGATGGGCAAACAAAGAATAAATGCCCTTGACTTTCATTCTCATTGGTTCTTATAATATGTATGGTAGCGGTTCTTCCATAATTGCACAGCCTTGGTTGTAATCTTATGTTGCTAATGTTAGAAGAAGAAGTCATTTTTTAAATCTGCATACATGAGAAATTTTTTAAATGGCAGTTCTATAGAGGAGAGGGACAGAGTGTGAAAGCTATTTGAATTTGAGGCAAACTGAAAACATCTTCACTGAAAATGGAACAATGTGTAACAACTAGTGTAGTTCAGCATTGAAGTGTACATCAATTGAATTTCAGCTTCAAAACAGAATGTAGTTCAGCATTGAAGTGTAGTTCAGCTTGAAAACAGAATCAGCAACACTGTGGTTAACAATGTAGTTTAGCAGTGAAGTATGGTTAACTTGGTGCTAATGGAAGTTGTTCTATACTTCATTTCAGCAGTGAAGTGTAATTGTTCACAAGGAACAAAGTCAACATATGGCTTAAACTTGCATACAAAAGTTGATTTGTACAACTAGTTTGAGATTGAAATGAGTGTTACCATTTCTACAACTAGTTGATTTCTACTACTTGGCTTAAACTTGTTTAAACTTTCTTAAACTTGCTTAAACTAAAGTCAAAATGATTCCCATTTCGAAGTCCAAACTAGTTTCAGATTATCACCCATATGTTCCTTAAAGAAGATGTCTAACCATATTTCCATGACCAATACTAAACAGGGAGCATATTTCAACTGAACATGGAGCATACTAAACATGGAGCATATTTTAAGCGCAGGAAGATGGCTTAAACTTGATATGAAAAAGCTATTATGCATTCATATGATATCAGTGCTCCATCCCATAGGAACAACTGATTACCATTGTATAGGAACAAGTCAGCCAATAGAAATATTTTTTTGACAACCTTAATTGTATAGCATTACTCATAAAACAATTAAGTAATGAGCTAAAAAATATCAACGCTGTTCAAGTGCTATTCAGATTGTTCAAATTTGAGGCAATTAAGTAATGAGCTAAAAATTAAAATAAAAAAAAATAAAAAATTAGCTAATGATTCATCAAAAACAGGGAGCATATTTCATGAATTGGCTACTGATTTGTCAAAAATTGCCTACTAATTTAAAGAATTGGTATTCAGATTGTTTTCATATTATATTTCCATGAATTACTTGTCTCTGGAATTGAAGACAGAAAATTACAGAAGTAATTACATATGGAGAGAGATGGAAAAAAGAAGAAGAAAAAGAAGAAGAAGAAACCCAAATCAAAGCTGAAAATTTTTATCCGTTGGCATCCCAAATCAAAGCCCTAATTTTGAAATTCCAAATCTAAAAGCCCTAAATTTTTTCAGACGTTTCAAAACCCTAAATTTTTAGGCGTTGGAATCCCAAATCAAAGCCCTAATTTTGAAATTCCAAATCTAAAAGCCCTAAATTTTTTCACACGTTCAAAGAACCCTAACTTCTCAATCTCAATTCCAAACCCAAATCTCAATCTCAATCACACAATTCTTGACAAAATAATTTCAGAAGTTCGAAGACCAACATGGTTCGTCAAGAATTTATTTGCTCAACCGATGGTGGTTGTCGCGGTGGAGCTATGGTTCACAAAGCGTAGCATATTAGGGCTGGAGCGGTGGAGCTATGGTTGTCACGGGGTTACGAGTAATCTAAAAGCCCTAAATTTTTTCAGACGTTTCAAAACCCTAAATTTTTAGGCGTTGGAATCCCAAATCAAAGCCCTAATTTTGAAATTCCAAATCTAAAAGCCCTAAATTTTTTCACACGTTCAAAGAACCCTAACTTCTCAATCTCAATTCCAAACCCAAATCTCAATCTCAATCACACAATTCTTGACAAAATAATTTCAGACGTTCGAAGACCAACATGGTTCGTCAAGAATTTATTTGCTCAACCGATTGTGGTTGTCGCGGTGGAGCTATGGTTCACGAAGCGTAGCATATTAGGGCTGGAGCGGTGGAGCTATGGTTGTCGCAGGGTTACGAGTGGGTTCGCCGTCTAGGTCGCCGTCGGGACTAGTTGTCGGTTCGCCGGTGAGGGTGGCTTCGGTGGACAAGTGGCTGAGTGAAAGTGAGAGTGAGAGTGAATATATAGCCTCACCAAAATTTCATATCACAGAGCTGTGTTTTGTTTGGGCGGGATATCACCAAAATTTCAAATTTATTTATTTATTTATTTATTTTTTTTTATCTCAGCTATTGGATGTGCAACAGCTGATCTCAGCCGTTGCAAGTAGGTTGTGGAAGAGGGTTCTCAAGGAAGGGATCCAGACTCCTTTCAACCAACTTCTACAGTCACTCCAAAGCCCATATATTCGATTGCCGCGTAATTTGAATTTGTCATGGTAATTTTTAACAAGTCTTCATTTTCCAAGCCACTTCGACTTCTATAAATTCAACACCAAGCCTCTTTCTCTTAATATCTCTCCCATTCATTCAACACCAAGCCTCTTTCTCTCAATATCTCTCCCATTTATTCATTCAATCATTCTCTCCCAAAAATGGAACATTTGATCCCTTTGGTGATCACTAACCTTTCTGCAACAGAACTAAAAGACGGCAGGCTCTTCGGCAGGATGAAAGTCTACGCCAGTGTCTCCATCTCCGGTGGCCCTCCAACGGGCTATAACTCGGTGTTCAGAACCCATGTCGATATGGAAGGAAACAACAATCCCAGATGGAACACTGTCATGGATTTCAGACTCCATGGCCCATCTCTCCGAAACAACCTCCTCCTTCTCAATTTCAACCTCTATTGCCGTGACACCTTGGATGAGAGATTCATCGGCGGAGTCAGAGTCCCCATCAATCCCCTCCTCGCCGTGATATCGGGTAATAGGACCGCTTCTCAGCCGGTCCGGTATCCAGTTACGACGTCTTCTGGGGATGTGCATGGCTTTATAAACTTCTGTTTCGGATATGGGAACTCAATTCGTCCATCGGGATCGCAACAACCGGCTCCGCAGTCGCGGCAACCACGACCACCACATGTAGCGCGGGAGGCCCAACAACCGGCTCCACAGAGGCACCCACCACCACCACCACAAGCCTATCAGTATGATTATGGTGATCAGGCCAATCAGTATGATTATGATAATGATGATCAGGCCAATCAGTATGATTATGATTATGATGATCAGGCCAATCAGTATGATTATGATGATCAGGCCAATCAGTATGATTATGATTATGATGATCAGGCCAATGCGTTTGATGATGTGAGTGACTACTACTAATGCTGATTAGTTATCAAGATTATGGTTTTTCTTGTGGTATGGTGGGGTGGGGCTGGCTAACCATTCATAATAAGTATTTTTCATTGAGTTTGCTTTTGCTTTTTGATAGATGTATTGTCTATGGTATGTAACTACTAGTGTGGCTTAGGTCAAGTTTGGGAAGACTAAAAAAAGTACATTTTTTGTCTTTTTGGACTAAAAAATTGAGGTTGAAAATATGGATGTTTGGGTTAACTTTTTGACTTTTTATTGAAAAATGTGTAATAAAAAATTATAAAAATTGATTTGTAGAGAAAAATTTGAATTGGGAGTTGTGCAGCCGTAATTGTTGACTTTTCCAAAATGGGAGAGGAACCATATATAAAACATCATAAGAATGATATAGTAGTGATAGTTGTTTTGTTTTAAGTAATAGGCTCCTAGTTGAAGAGGTTCCTCAAATTTGTCTGATTAGGGCTCGTTTGGGAACCAGCTATTTTAGTAATTTTTTAATTTTTTGACTAAAATATAAGGTAAAAAAAATAAATATATTTAAAAATAATTTTTTAATTTTTCACGAAAAGATGTTCAAAAAATAGAATTTTTTTTTGACTTTTTAATATAGATTATAGGTTTTTTTATTTTTTTAATAACTTTTTTATTTTTAAACTAAAACGGTTGAATGCCAAACGATACCTTAGTCCTTTCTGAATCTTTGTAATTTGCCTCCGGGCTTTACCCATCTAAAAAAAAAAAAAAGTGATAGGCCCTCCTGTTTACAAATTTAGATTAGACCATCAAGTTGGTCACATTTTCGGTTACAAATTGAATGATTTAAATCGTTCACATTTTAAAGATTATCGAGTAAATTATTTATACAAAAAAATAAGTTAATTGGATAATGGTAACTATATATTCCGATAAATTTTGTATACAAAAAACGAACAATACATATAATTTAAAGTTTAACCATTCATTTTTTTAATACAAAATTGACTCAAACATATAGTTACTATATTATTCGATTAATTTGAGATAAAATGCTCCAATAACTTTTCTTCAAATTTAACTAAACCTTCATTTTGTAAAAAGAATTGAATGCTCCCTTCCTCAATTACTCAAACAATTTATCAATTTTTTTTTTATAAAAAAAATCTAAGTTTCCAATAACCTCTTTTCATCAAATTTGGTTAAAAATTATTTTTGCCTACACTTAACTTAATGAAAAAAAAAATTTAATGTTATACAAGTTTAATAAAATGGTTGGACATGATTTTGACTAATTTTTTTCATTAAATTTAAATTTAATAAAAAATTAATGAATTGAAAGTTATGACCAAAAAAATCTTTTGTTTTAAACAAAGAGTTGGAGTTATTTAAGATGATTTAAATAAATATATTTTTTAACTTTTATAAAAAAATATCTATAAAAGTAAAGAGATATTATGACTAAAAAAAATAAAAAGATAAATATTACTAGGATACGTCATGCCAAACAAGCTCAAATGTAGTATAATTGGTCCATATCCATTGGCCTTTTCACAAAAAAGGGTTCAAAAAAATGGATATATCAAAAGCATAAGTAGCGTACCTTAGACCCATGGGGGTGTCTCTCTTTTATAGTTAACTCAATCCAAGTCCTACTAGAAGCATGACTTCTATAGACTTCAATTCAGTGCTTACTTAGGATTTCTCAAGAGATAAAGATAAGCTCTCTAAGAGCTTTATCCTTATCTCTGCTAAGTCCCCTCTTTGTCCTAGGACTTCTGTCCCTTATCCGCTTATCTCGGATTCCGATATCTTCGGAGATAACCTCGGCCTAGCTGAGATGACCTCGGCACAACGATCAAGACACGTGGCACCTCGGCTGACACGTCGGTGTCACCTTGCCACGTGTTGGTACTTAGAAAATATATCCCCACAGTAACTATATATTCCGATAAATTTTGTATACAAAAAACGAACAATACATATAATTTAAAATTGATTGGTGAATCTCTGATTTTTTCAGGGCTGGGTTGGTGAATATCTATTGGTGAAAAATCTATCCCTTTGTCTCCAAGTCAAGGTAAAAACAAAAGGGTCTCTGTGATACGAACACCATACCTGATGAAGTTATGATGAAGCTGCTAGCCAACTATGCAATAACAACCTATTGGTTCTTTATCCTAAAATAATTTATATATACTATTGCTATTTTTATACTTCACACACATACACACACAGAGACATATATGATAAGTTATCAATTAGTACTTCTAAATTTAATTATATTTTCAATGTGATTATTAAACTTTTAATTCTTCGAAATTTTAAGTGTAAATCTCATACTTTTAATTTTTTTATTTATAATTTAGTCGATGTAGTCCAATTTATAACTAAATACAGGAAAATAATAATAATTCTTTTATGTTATGCTTCCTAATTTACAAAAATTTAGAATTAAAAATAAAAGAATAAAAAATCACAAATAGTTTCATGTAAAAATTTTACCTAATTCAGGGTAAATTGTTATTATTATTATTACTTCTACGAACTATTTTTATTAAAGTTTTTTTTTTTTTGGGACATAAAACATCTTTTTTTTTTCAAAATATTCTATTCATTTTTTATTGTTTGGTTGAACAGAATATGAGTAAAAAAAATTTTTCATTATAGTTTCAAAAACTAATTGACAATAAAAATTATGTAATCAAACTTTTTCAGTGCATTTGACTTTTCTAATAGGTATCCTAACTCTTTCCTGCAATATAAAATTATCGTTTCAATTATGAACCAAACGTTGAAAAACAAATACAAAATATTTTTTTGTGTGTAAAATCAATTTATATGAAAAATATTTTATATCAAAACAAATGGAACCTAAATCAACCTATTCTTGGTGTAAAAGTAGAAAATTATCGAATAGGATCTACATAATTTTTAGTTAATTTTAATTAATATTTTCTTAGTGTGAGATTCTTTCAATAATTTGAAAGTTATTTATTTCTTTTAATTGATTTTTCCTTTCTCTTTTACTTTACTTCTTAATTTTGTTTGTTTGTTTTTATTAAACTGAAGCATTACTTGATCTAAAGAAGGGAAAAAAAAATTGAAGCAGTATATAAAAAAAAAAAACTGAGACAGTATAGTTTTTTTTTTAAAAAAAAATATTATTTTTAGATTGTATTTGGTTCATGAATTTGAAAAAAGATTTGAAAAAAAAAATGTGTATAAAATCTATCCAAACCTGTCCTCAAATTCATAAATCAAGCAAAATCTTAATCAATTTGTCTCTTTCACTCACTTCTTTCAATTCTTAATTTTTTGCTTTTATTTTGTTTATATTAATGGAGATATACCAAAAGCAAAGCAATGAAGCAAAGCAAATGGGGTGGGGATGTTAGGGGTGGGGAAAACCGATCCCCATGAGGGGTGGGGGTGGTAGTAAGAAATTGGTCACCGTTAGGTACTGGGGATGGAGGATGGGGAAAAATAAAATTTGAGAATTGGGGATGGGAAGGGTAAAACCCACTCTACCCACTCCATTGCCATCCCTAGTCTTATACACGTCTGTCCCCAAAATCAACCACTAAAACATTTATCAAGAAATTAGTTTTTTTGTAAATGAAAAATTAATAATTGTTATTTAAATTAGATTTTTAATAAAATTTAATACTATAACTATATCAAATTGAGAATAGATTATTTTGATAATTTTTTTATTTTTTTATAAAAAAAAAATGTATAGAAAAATGGAGAGGTAATATGATCAAAATATGATAAAAAATAAATAAGTTCATTTTTTAGGTTGTCACTTCTAGAAATTGTTAGAACAAATCTTATGTGTACAGTTATAACATGCAATACCTGCACTAAATATATTACCAAATTATATAAAAAATATAAGTTGAATATAACGTAAATTGTTTGAGTTAAACCAAACCAAACCATATATCGAAAACCAAAAATACTTACAAAGAAGTAGATAACTTACAAACTGAATGAAAAAATCTGGAAACGGAAAATAATTTGATTGAGACTGATGTTGGACACAATTTTTTTAAGACAAATTCGTCCCTCGCTATGGTGCTCACGAGTTTTTATTGGACGTTTGTCTCCCAGAATACAACGATCGAACCTTGTAGAAGCAGCACTACCACGACAAGTCTAGTGAATTTTACTGTGTAGAATTCTCTTACAAGAAAGACAGAGTGCAGAAAAAAAAAACACAAGATGAATTTCATTTTAAAATGAATGCAATGGGGGTCTATTTATATAGATGAATTGGTGCCTCTTCGAATGGTCATGGTGACTTTTCAAAAGAGTAACCTCTTTTCCACGAAAAGGTGCAACCAGAAAAGACATGATTGTTCTTTCAAAAGAATTTGAATTCTGAATCGAATCATGTTCAAATTTAACCTAAAAAATTAACGAATTTATTTAAATAAAATCAAATTTTACATTAAATAAATATTGTCTTAAAACCATTCTCAAATGGTGTATTTTGGAGTCAATTTCTCATTCAACTATTAATGGTTTCCAAACATTTTTCCAACAATCCCTCGCATGAATGAAATGACGAAAAAGTATGCAAGACACAATGCAAACTCAAAGAGAATTCAATTGGAAATATTCTGAATGGGGATAGGTAGCTTTTGGCTTTGAACCTTCTTTAGTGAAAGACTATCAGACTTATTAACTAATCAATGGACGTGATGCCTTGAACAGTTCAGCCGTTTGTGTAAGCCAAGACAATAGAATTCACACAGAATATCTTCAAACACAGCTTAATTCTCACAGTTGTGCCCATTTTGGCCTTGGACATGTCCTGGTATTTCGTGAGCGCTTTAGAGAATTTAGCCTTATCAATTCTCATAGAAGCAGCCCCTTTACACTTATATAGGTGATCTTTATTTCGAGTCTATTAAATACTCCTCTTGAAAGATACCCCTCTAGGTTTTTCAAGATATAAGTGATCATTAAAAGTATAGCTTACCCGAAGTCCACTACATACAACACATGTTGCACATGTCACTCTCATCATAAGAATGGATAGGAGATATATTCCCTTAGTGATTTCTGGTGAGCCACACATAACTTAGTTGTCCCTTTGAACTTAGTTCTTGGGATCTTCAGTCATTTAAGTAAGGTTACCATTATGATGACTCTTATGTAATAGG